CTGGGATAAAGTGTTGGTGATCAGGGCCTCCCTGGTGGCGCAGCGGTTGAGCGCTGGGTTGCAAAGCTGCCCACAGCCTCTGCAGCACCAGTTCGATCCCCGGCTGCTCCCCGGCCACCGGAGGAGGGTCCCACATGGCGCGCAGACCTCTCCTGCCGCCCGCTGCTCCCCTCAGCAGTGTACTTCGGTCCTTCTGCCTGTTCTGCTCCCCGCTCTGGCTCTGGTGAATTCTCTCACCCTCCTGCGCTTCTGTCTGTACCCAGTGCATGTATAAACAAATAAATAAATAAATCTTAAAAAAAAAAAAAAGTGTTGGTGATCCTGGGGGCAGTGACGCTAGCTGCTAATTCCCCCCCCCCCCACCGCAGGGAGCTGATGACTCCTTGGGGCTCTTCATCATGTGGAGGCCTCTCATGGCTCTTTGGAGGCTGTGACAGCTTCCACTTTGGCTGAGAAGGAGGGTGTTGCAGCAGTCAGGACCCTGGTGGGATATATCCCCCCACCCAGAGATCAGGACCAGACACCAGGTGGGGGAGGCCACACCTACCGGTTCAAACCAGGAGGCCCCCAAGAGCCCTGGGGAGGATATGGGTTCTAGGATTCCAGGGAAGATGGGGGAATGTTCTGAGGGGCCTTGGAAAGCCCTCGGTTGAATCTGACTTGGATTCATCTGACTGAGCAGGTACCCCTCGCCTCATAAAATTAGCCCGAAGGGAGCACTGGGTCTGCCATCGGGCCCCGGGGCTGTGTCAGGGAAGGAAGCGGGTTATAAAGGTCAGGGCTGGCTGGAGCAGACTGGAGTCTGACCTCAGCACTGGCCAGGGATAGGACTCATCCTCTAGCCAGCACTCTGGGGATCCAGAGGTTCCCAGGGGTGACGTGAGGTTGGAATCTAGTTTGAGCCTCCAGTCAGAGGATGAGACCACACCAGGCAGAGGATGAGCATCGTCAGGACCCTGCACTGGGTCTGTCTTTTCCCTCCCAGCATCCAGCCCCCAACTCAATCCCAGCAGATGGGAAAGAGCCCCAGATCTTATCCCAGTTCTGTGGGTCCTCAAGCAAGTTCTGCCCTATCTCTGGGCCTCAGTTTTTTCCATCTGTCAAATGGACAGTTAAAATTAATATCTGTAAATCCACGCATCCATCCATGCACCCGGCAGGTATTTTTTTGAATGCCTGCAATGGACCAGGGCCTCTTCTAGACTCCAGAAACATCAAGATGTAGATCAGAAACCAAAAACTGCTTCTTTTTGTTTGATGTGTTTGTTAAAAGACAGATCACACACCTAGAGAACATTTTTGAGGGATACATGAAATGACACGAGATTAGGAAGGTCAATTTCCCAGGCGCTCTGACTTGCTCGCCCTGGGCTCCCAGTGTTATTCACGGGGCTGGGGCACACTGGAGCACTGTGATGGCTAGTTGAATGAATGAATGAATGAATGAATGAACAGGGCTTATCTTGCTGAGATAGGTCTGAGAACCGCCCCCCTCCTCTGCCACCTTGTTCTAGAGAAAGCTGCCTCAGGAGTATGAAATGGGGCCGAGGCCCCCTCCAGGATTTCGTGATGGGAACCAATGGCTTCACACCTTTCACTCCCCAGCCTCCCCGGCCTCCCCAGCAGGTGGAGGTAGATGTCTGAAGAAGATCTAAGAAGGCGTGGAGGCAGGACAGGGCACTTCCCCACTCCTTAAACCCAGGTGGGGTGGCAGAACTCCTTAAACCCCAGGGGGTGAGGAGACCTCCGAGCGTGGAGGCCACCGGAAGGAAATGGGCATTTCTTGCCCTGATTAGACACACGCTGGCTGGTCCTTCCCATGTTGATTGATGGTGAAGGGAGAATGAACAAGAGACGCAGAGGGGCACGCGCTGCCAGATTCTCTGCGAGTCACGTGGACACTGAAGGAGTCAGCTGAACTTGGTCCAAGCTGCAGATTCCCACCCCAAAGGGGCAAGAGGCCCTGTATGGGACCACGGGTAGGGGGAGCTGGGAAGATTGGAATAGTTCAAGCCCATGCTCCTGCCCCATGAAACCAGAACAGTGCTATAGTTAGGGCACCAGCCTCACACAGCGGGCCTGGAGGAGGCACCAGGACACTTAGATCTGACCCCACTCCCTGCTGCTGGCTGGGGATGGGCCCTCGAGTGTCATCACTCAAGTGCTGCACCAGAGAAGCAAGTAGCATCAAAGGAGTAAGACATAGTAGTCCCCGTTGGCACTCCCTCCTCTGATCAGGGAAGAGAGGGTGTGAGAGAGCTCGCCACACCTCCCCAGAGGAAAGATCAAAGGGACCAGGAGGAAAGAGGTTTGACTCAGATCTGTTTTTAAAGTTGAGCACTGGACTAAGCTTTTCAATACCAGAAAACACTGAGATCTGCCCAAAGTTATTAAGGATTGAGTTTTGGAGCTTTAACAGAGTGTTAGAGGGGAAGAAAGCATGTGTCACGTTTGTAACCCCCTGGTACACGTCCAGTGTGATCACTAAGCCAGTTAGATACAAAGGGAGCCGAGGGCTACCATCCTTAGTGTACAAAGAGCTCCTAGAAATCAGCAAGAGCAGGAACAAGGTGGGGTGGGGAATGGACACAGATAATACAAGCAGTTCATAGAAGACAAATGTAACCATGTGAAGAGCTATCCTACTCGATGATTACTTTCAAAATGAAGATCAACATAATAATGAAATATTACTGTGACCTACCAGGGGGCAAACTGTCAAGGACTGACAGCAGTCTGCCTTCCCCATGAGAAGGGGAGTGGGGCAGTGTCTGTTAAAATTTCAAGTCTGTAGTAATATAGGGATGCCCCGAAGCTCAGGGGGGACAGGCCCTTGTTCAGAGATACACAGTAGGTCCCCGAAGGGCAGGGTTGAAATCCAGCCTCTGCATTGTGCCTTTGGTTCTTTATCTCTGGCCAGCTGGCCCTCCCTGCCTGGCCTGCCCAGCCTGGCCCCTGACCCCTGTCACCGCACCTGCTCCAGGGCTGAGGATGGCGGGGACCTTGCTGTTCCAAGAGACACATTCTCCTATAGTCACCCCCCCCTCACCACAGACGGGGCTCCAGATCAGTGCTGCTCACCAGGAGGTGTAGACCAGACAGCCCAAGGTTGGGGATCAGACAACCTGCTGCCAAATCCCCGGACATTTTACCCTCAGTTTGTGCATATGTAAATGGAGACAGTCACTTGCCCCTCGAAGGCTAATCCCTTCCACGAATATTTATTGAGGGCCTCCTCCATGCCCTCTGTCCTAGGCAAAGTGGACTCATCAGTGAACAAGACAGTCCTTCCCTCATGAAGTTTGTCCCTACACGAGAGAGATGATTTGAGACAGTGACAGGGAGTGATGGAAGTCAGCAGGGATGGCAGGCACGGCTGGGGCCACCCAGGAAGACCTCGCTGAGGCACACAGGACAAGGATTCCTGGCAGAGGGACCAGCAAGTACAGAGGCCCAGAGGCTGGAAAGATCTTGGCATGGAAGAGAGCAGTGAGGCCAGCATTGGGGGGCGGGGGGAGGTCAAAGGGGATGGGGCCAGAGCAGGGAGCGAGGGCTCAGAAGGAGTTCGAATGGGCCGGATTTTCCTGGAACCAAGAAGGGAAGGCGCCGCGGGGTGCACGCCTCGGAGTCTGCCTTCTGGAAAGCTGCCTCTGAGGCTGATGGGAATGGACTCTAGGGGTGGGGTGGGAGGTGGGAGCAGAAGCCTGTGGTCTTGACAAGGCTGGAGACCGAGAGGAGCAGGTAGGGAGGACAGGCCAGCTTTCCTTGTGGGTTGTTACAAAAATTGAAAGGTGAACAGCCTGGTCTGCAGCACAGCATGCGGTGGTGCTCAGCAGACCTCAGCGGGCCAGCTCTCCTCAGCTCTAAAGAGACCCCCATGGCTTGGTCTACTCACGGCCTCCTCACCCACGGCCCTCGCTGTCATGGCTTCAGGTTGAGACCCGTTGACCTGCTGTTTCTCCTTGACTTTCACAGGGCACTAGGCCTGTGAAAGGGGCCTTGTGCTCCCTGAATCTGGGGTGAAACCTGGGGGCCTTTGTGGGAGGTTCCTAAGTCACTCTCAAAGCGGAGACTACACAGTGAGTCAGTGACATGGGTCCAGGCCAGGCCCCCAGCCAACTGTCCTGCACCGGGTCGTGGGGTGGAAGACAGCACCAGGCAGGCAGGAGCCCACACTGGGCTGGAATCCCAGCTCTGCCACCTTGACCCTGGAAAGTCCTTGACCTCTCAGAGCTCAGCACCAACAGGAATGATGTTCTTGAAGGGCTGCTGGAGATTAAAGGGAGGTAACAGTCTGCACTGCGCCAAGTGTGTGCCCAGCTCATATGCCAAGTACTCAACAAATGGAAGCCATCCTCAGCCTGTGCTCTGTCCTGGTTAACACATGAAAATGAGCCCTGGCCTCTGAGTCTCAGCCTGGGGTCTGCCCTAGTGCCTACCAGTGTGGGAACCTGGACAACTGAATTCATCCACCTGGGTCTTCTGTAAAATGGCTATCATTCTCCTAAGGTTGTGGGCCATGTACACAAAACACCTGGCACTTAGTAGGTGTTCAATAAGTGGCATGACGCCAGCGGGGAGGAGTTGAGTGTAAGAGGGGCAACAGGTGGCGGTGGGAGCTTTGAGGAACAGGATGGACCTGGAAACCCCTCCTGTCCCTGGGGCACCGTTTCCACTAAACTAAAACCCCAGCAGTGGGAGGGACCTGGAAATCCGGCATCCCCGTCACAGGCCTCTGTTTCCTCAACTGTAAAATGGGCATAATAATTTTTGCCCAGTTGAAACCACGAGTAGGGACTGAAGTCAAACAGGCAGACATGGCTGGAGATGCTGTGTCTGCGGGCTTTGGCAGCTTCTCTCAGGGACCAGGGCCTCAAACGGGGGGATCTGGGACTGCCCTGAGGTTGGTTGTAGCCAGCCTGGTCCTGACCTACCCGGGTCCTTGTGTTAAGTCATTTCAAACCCATCACTGCCCTACAAAGCTGGGCCTATGCTTACCCATGTTCATGGATGAGAAAACAGAGGCTCAGAGAGGGGAAGGGGTTGACCCAAGAACTCAAAGCAAGGAGTCAGGTGAGAAGCAAACACAAGCCCAAGCTCCCAACTGCTGGGGGCTGCTCTGTTCTGCTGGTTCCTGCTCGCCAGCACTCTCGGAGCACAGAAGTGCCACTGAAAGCCACAGTCTCTCAGGGCCCACCAGACATGGAGCCTGAGCTGTCTGTGAGGAGAGAGGCAACTGCTGTGAACAACTTATTTTAGTCTGGACTGGCTTGTGCTGTGGATGGGACTCTTGAGCAGCCCCCAGACCTCCAGTGAAGCCTGTTTGGGGGTGGGGTGGGGTGATGCAAGAGAATAAGAGGATCCATAGATTGAAACCAAGTAGCCAAAGCAGTCCTAGGAAAATTTCACTCATTGGATGGGGAATCTCAGCCCTGGGAGGACCCCAAGCCTCAGGGGGGTGCCGTTCAAGCTGCCTTCACGTGTCTCCGCGGGCAGCGGGCGTCCAGATGACATGTCTCCCGCTCTGACATTAGAACTCACTCCGTTGGGCCTGCCGCCTCCATCAGTCCGGAGCCCCCCAGGACAGGGTCAGCAGACAGCAAGTGGTGAACAGACATTGCTAGCTGGGATGCGCTGGCCACATGCTGGACAAGGGTGAACAGACGAGCTGCCTGCATTTGAGAGTCCAGTGGTGTCCTGGGGAAGCACTGAGGGTGCCGCATCTGGACCCCCCCCATCACTTCTAGGGAGACTCACTCATGGAACAGGGGTCCAATGGAGGAATAGAGAATCTGGGCTCATACCCTACTTATAAGACCTTCTTATAAGAACATTTTATAAGATCGAAAAGCCCCGACTATAAGGGAGAAGAAACTCCCCTCCCCCCCAGTAAAAAAAACTCAAGGATTTGGCCACACGAACAATATCATAAATAACAATTTCTATTCTCCAAAGAATATCCAAAGTCAGACAGGTGTCAGAAGAAAGGTCTTTCAGGTCAGAATCAATAGGGGACTAGCATGTAGGTAATAAAGAAAGTTTTTCTAAGAAAAAACTTAGTCCAATAAAAAGGGGGTCAAAATAAAAGTAAGATCTCATAAAAAATGAGAAAAAAAAAAGTAACAAAAAAATTTTAAATAAGATTCTGGGAAAGCAGCAGCACCAGATCCCAGGGGGCAGTCAGCAGGAGGCTGATGAGAGAGCTTGAAGAAATTCACAAATATGGAATGAAAAACTCCAGTAACATCCAGGTTGATGAAGCTCATTTATTGCCTGGCAAGGGCTTATATTGTAGTTCCCGGCAACCCTCCCGTTCCCAGCAGTGCCCATTCAAACCACGAAAATCACATTTAAAGCAAAGATCTATCACCTGCACATTGATAAAAGGGGGCAGATCTGTCTGCTAGTAATTTGTGCTGACAACTGGAAACCAGCATCCCAAACTGCCCAAGTGCTGTCCCTCGCAGCGCCGGTCAGCCGCCCCCAGCAGGAGCGCCCTCTTCAGGCCAATGTAGCCACAGCATACTCTAAGGGCCAGGGCACATTCTGTAAGAATGCCGGAGAATTTACGAAGAAATATGGGAAAAGGCGACCCATGGCCTAAAATCTGCCATGATTGATTCCAGCAAGTGTAAGCAGAGACCCCAAGCAGTGCATTCAGACACCCCGAAAGGCAGGATCGTGGAAAATGTGCAAGTGCCACTGCCTGGTGTTTGCTTGTCAGTAACTAACTCTATAGTTTTCTTAATCAAAAGTGGTCTAGGTAACCTGTAGAGTAAGGATGAAACATTTAAGATATTCCCCCCAAAAAAGTTTAAATTAAGAGAAATAGAAATCGAATAAACACTGCGTTTATGAGCAAGGAGCCATGTCCAACAACAGAGAAAGGAAAATTTCTTCAACAAGTGATGTTGGGAAAACGGAACAGCCCTGTGTGCAAGACCAGAGAACAGTCTCTCTAACGCCATGCACAAAAATCAATGCAAATGGATTAAAGATTAGGCTATATAAAGACCTGAAACTATATAAAGGACATGTTTTTGCTTTGTTATTTTTCTTTAAAAATAATTAAAATGAATAAAACCATAAAATACATTCATACTTTAAAATGAATAAGGTAACATAAAAAATAAAAATAAATTAGAAAAATAAAATGTACAAATGAAATAAAAATACATTTGTAAATTTAAATGTTACATTAAAATGAAAAATACTTTAAAATGTTTAAATAAAGTAAGGATAAAATTTTCCAAGTAAGTGAAATGAATTTTAAGAGTAAAAAGAAAAAATCAGCACTTCTTAACGATTTGAAAAATAAAGGAAGAAAAAATAATTCAAAACGGGGACAAATCTTGTGCGATTGATGTTACTAATGTGCTATCAATTAAGGAGTCTGATTGGCGCAAATGTCTGCCAGAAGGGGAGCAATTGGGGTACGGGAAGGAAGGAAAGCATGTCCAAAAGGCAGCATCTGACTGACTTTTTCCAGCCTGTATGGCCAGAGGTTAGGACATCAGGCCCCGCCATGAGCTCATTCACAAATAGCCATCGCATCGTTTGTACACTTATAATATGCAGACACCACACACACACACACACACACACACACACACACACCCTATCCATTCCTCACTGCTCTCCTCTGAGGTCCACTTTTACAAAGGAGTGTACAGAGGCTCAGAGACAGCAAGTCACTGTGCCATAGTCACACAGCATTTAGTATCACCCTGTTCCCTGAAATTCAGCTCCTCAAAGTGACCTTCTTTGGTGGGCTAGCTTTGCTGAGGACTTTTAAACAGAGGCAGAAGCTTGTCTAACATAAGACTGGAAGAGTCTGGACACTAGAAAGAACCCACTCCCCCATGATGCATGCTCATTATGACAATTTGTGGGTTACATGCATAATCTTGATCTTCAAGACAACTGTCTGATGCAGATGCTATTATTGCCCCCACTGTACGGACACCGAAATTTGGGAGTGAAATATTTTCCCCCAAGCATGGCAGTAGCAGAGCTGGGAGCTAAGCCTAGACCTGTCACAGCCCCAATCCCACCCTCCCTGCCTGGGACTGGACACGTAAAAGTCACCGACTAAGTACTCGCTATGTGCTTGAATGGCGTTTCACAGCCTTTCGTAAATCAGCCAACAGAGGCGCAGGAGGAGGAGATGACCTGTCCACGGCCACTCAGCTTGTGAGTGGGAGCACTCAGCCTTCGTGACAGCCGGCCGGCCTCCCACTGCTCATCTGGGCCTTGCTAGAGACAGCTGTGCCAACTCCAGTGCGGGCTCCGGAAGGGCCGTCGTGACATTCCTTCTCTGTGTGTCTCCACCCCTGCGGATGTGGGCACCACTGTCAGGCTTCAGAGAAAGTGGAGGCTTCTGGCAAAAGGGAGTGGTTGCCCCATGTGGTCTGGGTCCCCCAGGCTGGGGAATGCCTTTCTTTTGAGCTGGTAAAACAGAACCCCCACACATACCCGCAATGGGTCACAGAGCAGGGCCCTATGAATCAGTCGGCATCACTGTAAGAAAGCATCCCAGGCAGTGGTGGCTGCGCCTGGGGCAGCAGTGCCTAAGAGGAGTTAGCCTGACCCATCAGCGGTGAGAACCAGACCATTTGCCTATGGGAACTGGAGGAATTCCCGAGAGTGGGGCTGAGGACATGTGTCCTCGGTGGTGCTAAGTTACACAGGGCTAAGAAAGGGGGTGCTAGCCATGGAGATCTGGGGCCATATCCCAACCTCTCCCTGTCCTGGCTGTGTGCCCTTGGCAAGTCAATTGCCCTCTCTGAGCTTTTCACTACAGAATAGTGAGATCACATCCCTGAGTGGAGTATTATGTGGGTGAACTGGGAGAAGGGTAGGAAGGGTGTTCATGCACCCAAGCTTTGAAATCAGTTGCTTAGGTTTAAATTCTGGCTTTGCCAAGCTGTAAAATGCCAAGCAGTAAATGAAATTTCTATTATTTGGCTATTTTTGACATATGAAAGTGGCAGTTTCATATGCTTCAACTAACTTTCATCTCTCTTTTTTTAAAAGATTTATTTATTTATGCATACAAGAGCTGGAGTACAGGCCAGAGATGCAGGGGGTGAGAGGATTCACCAGAGACAGAGTGACGAACAGAACAGGCAGATTGACCAAAGTACACTGCTGAGGGGAGCAGCGGACGAGACAGGAGAGGTCTGCTGCGCCACGTGGGTTGCTCCCTGGCCGGCCAGGGATCGAACTCGTGCTGCAGAGGCTGCGGATAGCTTCATAGTGCGGTGCTTAACCCCTTGCACCAGCAGGGAGGCCCTTAACTTTCATCTCCTCTAACTCAGTTTCCTCTATAAAATAGGGAGAACGTTCCCCTCGCAGGGTTGCTGTGAGCATCACAGCAGGCTGGGAGGGAACTGAGCTCGTTGGCTAGAGCTTGGGCTATGGAACTGGGAAGGGTTTGCATCTTGGTACTAATAATGCAGGGAAAATTAACCTCTCTCTGTCTCAGTTTTTGCATCTATAAAATGCAAAAATAATAGTGCCCACCTCATAGGTTTATTGGGAGAATTTAATCAATTCACCTATACCAAGTACTTAGAACAGAGCCTGGAGTGAGATAAAATACTACAGGTAACATTTGGTAGAGAGTAAATGCTCAGCATCCAGCCAAATCAAAGTGACTTTTTAAAGAGAAAGAATGTGTTCCCAGGAATACACGTGTGTGTAGATATAAAGGTGGAGAATGTGCTCCAGGTCCAGGGGCCCGGGGGAAGGACATGCCCAAGGTCCGAGGACAGGGCGGGCATCAGGCCAGGGTGGCTGTGTCCAGCCCGGGCCGCAGCCAGATCCCTCTCATGGAACCTCACAGCCAAGCCACAGACCCTCTGTGGCACTCAGGTAAAGCCCGAGGCCCCCGAGCCCGGCTGGTCACTGGTTATTAAGACACCTCAGCAGACAGCCTCAGGGGTAGGAGCGCCTCTGGACGCCGTCCCCTTGTCTGACCTTTGTACCAGACCTGCAAGGAAGGCAAAGCGGACGGAGTATTCCCAAGTCACGCAGGGAAGCTCCAAACCTGACTTTCAGGCTGTGGAACAGGCTGCCTTCCCTCATGCTCCATGTCTCCTGCACCCTCACTTCCACCCCCAGATGGCTGACTATGCTTGAGCTCCCAATTTCTCAAGTCTGGGTTGCAAAGGTCTCAGCTGGCCTTTTCAGCCCAACACGCCATTCTTCTATAACCCTTCTCCCGAGCTCCAGGCAGAAAGTGGAAGTTGAACTGAAATGAAAGTGCACCCCATGAAGTGCTGCGTAGTGAGAGGGTGGTCAATGGCAGCATTTGGTGGGTTTTCTAGAGAATTCTAGAGGGGGCAGGATTTGCTTCCATGGTTCTGGAGTCAGGCAGACCCTGGTCACACACATATTTGCGATGCGACCTTGGACGAGCCAGTTTCCCTCTCCGAGCCAGTTTCCCTCTCCGAACCGGCCTTCCTCTTCTAGAGGCGAGGAGGGAAACCAGGGCCAGGGAGAGGAGCGGCGGGAAGGGAGATGCGCTGCCCGGTGCACACTGACTGCCCGGGGGGGCTGATGCAGGAGGACACTGAGGGCTTGCATGGACTATCCCTCCTTTGGGGGTTGACATCCCGACGTCTCGGGAAGGACGTGGTCTTCAGATTCAGGGTCATCAGAAACAAGCATCTGAACCAAAGGCCCCCAAAACAGGTCTGGGTGATTACTGCTTGTTGAGATAATTTGGTGTAGCGACTGGAGCTCCAGAGGCAGACTCCCTGGGTTCACATGGCGACTGCTGTGCGACCCACTGGGCCCGAGTCCCCACCATGACATAGGGGCCCTCTTGGAGCTCGCCCTTGGAGATATCACAAGGGCTGCCTTGGGAGTAGCTGGTACTGTAGGTGCCGTGCTTTTTGGACAATGTACAAATTATTTTTTTATATCAGCACATGCACAGTACACCATGTACACACTAGTACACACTCATTCACACACTTCCATACCCATATCCCTGTGCGCACACATGCATGATTAAACACGTGTGCACATTCACCCGCTCATATACACAATCACCACAAATCAAATAAGAATATTTGACAGATCATATGTGGCTTGAAAAACCTAAAATATGTACTCTCTGGCCCTTTAAAAATCAGTTTGCTGATCCCATTTCTGTTTCACTCAAATGCTGACTGCACTTATTAAATATATTTCTGTGATCTGCTGATGGTTTGCAAACCTAAGTTTGAAAACCTTTGGAGCTCTGTTTTTTCACAAGATGGAAAGATGGGTGAATAAACAGAGACTGACACATGGACAAGAAGAGGCACGGGAGTAAAATAATAAGGTCACCTTATCCACGTGACCCATTAGTCAAGTCTCTGTGAGCCCCAGATTCCTCCACTGCACCTGGGCCCCCACCAACCCGCCTCTCCAGGCTGTGCTGAGCACGAGCACGGGGTCCTGATGGATGTTCCTGCATCTCCAGGAGACGCGGGGCACATCTCTGCCATCCTTGTCAACACCTGGTCCAGAGCCAAGCCCAGAGGAGGGGCTCAATAAATATTTCTTCGTGACCATGGTGACAGGCAAGTGGTATCCGAGTCCACACAGCCCCGTGGCTCCTTCCTACCTGACCAAACCTTCCCCTCTCCCTCCTGGGGTCTCCAGCCCTGACCCAGCTGCCACTTCTGACAAAATCCTAAATCCTACTCCTCTGATAAGACGCCTCTTCTCCTCTGCTGCCTCAGCCTTGCAGCTCTCAGCAAGTCGCTAACAGGATTCATTTCCATTTCTATGCAGTTTGGGAGGCTCCAAAGCTCTGGTGCACATCCCAGCTTGGCTGCTCTATGTTCCTGGGCAGGTCACCGTTCCTTTCTGAGCCTCAGTCCCTTTACCTGGAAAATGAGTATTCATAGGGCTGTGCCACAGCGAGGGTTCCAACCCATAAGCAGAGCTCTTGGCACACGCCTGGCCCTCACCAAGTGGCCTCAAGGGTCTCCTTTGATGACTGGGCAGAGGGGGTGGTTCCCGTCCACAGGAGAGGGAGGTGGGTTCCATGCAGGGATGGGGAGTGTGAGGTAAAACCAGCATCTCCCTAGAGACTGGGTTTGTCTGCAGAAGAAGCTGCGGAGGCACAGGAGGGTGCAGAGCTCACTTTATTGAGCACCTACTATGAGCAAAGTGGCCTGCTTTCCTCTTTTCAACCAGCCTGTATTTTATGAAGAGTCTCAGATCCAGAGAGGCAGAAAGACTTGCCCAAGGCAGCATCCAACTGACGCCCAGCTCCACTCCCAAGCCCTCGACATGCAGCAAACACCCCTCCTCTTGTGCATCTTCCCCTGGACACCAGGGTTGACTGGAGCACCACTTGTCAGTGCCCTGCCAAGGCTCTGACCTGGGGACAAGAAACCCTAGGCCTCCCCTATCTCTGCCACCTGCTGGCAGGATCCCAATGACTGTGCACAGGGGACAGAACTGTGTGCCCAGCAGTCACACAGGCTTTGCAACTTACTGAGAATTTCTGTATTCACTCCAACCATGGGCCAGGGGAGCAGGTGCTCCCTGGCAAAGAGAGGAGGGAGGGGAATTCAACCCAGATGAGACTCCCCTCTCCACCTCCCAAGTCCAAGGAGCATCCCACTCAGCTGTCAGAGGGAGGGTGGTTGCCTTCTGCCCAACCACCAAAGAGGTAAGTGCAGGAGTACCCCCTCTCATGAATATGGAACCATGGATCAGAGAAGGCATATAGCCTGCCCAAGGTCATACAACTAGCTCAGGATTTGAACCCAGGACTTTCTGGATCCCAGAATTCCTGCCTCTGCTCCATGCTGTCTCAGTTCTAGAAGGATCTAAAAGCACCATGTGACTGTGGGGGCTCTCCCCTCCACCAAGCTCCCTCCCCAGCCTGGACTTAGGGAAATTCAATCATGGCCTGTCTTCTCCTTGCCTGAATGAGGCTCCATATTGGGATGTGGGTCACAAACCAGGGCCCCCTCGCTCTGACCAACTGACCCAATGCCAGGATACCCCAGATTGTTTCAAGAGAAATGTCCCCATCTGGTTCTGATTCATTTGCACTTAATTAATCAAAATGTTGTTTTGTAAGAGACACTTGAGATCCAAGAACCTTTCTCAAGCCTTTTCTTTCATTCTTTCTTGTCTTAGAAACAGAGAAATTGGGTTTCATCAAAACCAGTGACGCTGGAGCCTGAGGAAGCTGGGTCTGTGGGTACGGGGTCCCAAGGGTGAAGCTCAGAGTGCAGGCTGCTGGGTGGAGTGTGTCTCTCCCCTGGACGCTGCAGAGCAAGCCGAAGGCTGGGGCCAACGGCGCTAACAGCGAGGGAGGGAGGCCGAGGAGGGGCAGGACAGGGACAGCACTCCATACCGGTAGCCCCTAAGGGGCAGACCCGAGGTCTGCGCACCGTGGCACCCCCAAGGTTCACAGCACAGAGGCTGTAACACTTGCTATGTGAACAAGTAGAAGGCTGAGTGATGCAGTGTCTTTCTCCTTATACCCAGGCCCCCTCATATTACATCCTCCTGCCATAGTTAGACCAGAATGTCCAAGCAGGTGAGAGCCTCGGGGATCTCAGGTGGATGTTTCCAAGCAGTTGTCTTATGGTCTGTGATGTGCAGTGTGGAATAGGTGCTACCCTCTAGTCCCACCTCCACACCAGGAGAGCGCCCATGGGCCCCACAGTCAAGGAATCTGCTAAAACCGTCCTTTTCCAAACCTGCTTGGCCAGGACTCCTATGACCTTGCAGAAGAGGCGACAGAAGGGTTATTGTACCCCCACCCCCTAGTTCAGTGCCTATGGGGTAACCAAGGCTGTGAGTGGCAGGGGGAATCCACTCACCCAAGGTCACAGGGTACAAAAGGGTTGGGGTAGAACTGAAACCCAAGGTTCTCTCCAGTGCTTTTGATTGACAGATGCAATCTAAGGCATCTAGAGATGCTGGACAGGGCATGTGTGTGTCCCAGATGCAAAAGATTACCATGGGGAGGGGTGCTGAGAGCCCCCTTAGCAAACTGGGCAGTATCAGGAACAGCTATGCCCAGCCTCCTCACTGGAGCACCAAGGCAGGTGGAGGTGAACTGGGGATGGAATTTTTCTTTCTCCTTATTCTCTCTCTCTCAAGCATCTTAAAAGATCTTCCAAACCAGCTCCTCACAGTTGGGGAAACTGAGGCTCTGAGAAGAAGAACACAGCTCAGGAGACAACTCAGCATCCCGTTAGATGGAGTGGGGTTCCAGGCCGCTTGCCATGTACCCACGGCACACCTTGCACAAATCAGTGTCCCTCTCTGGAACTCATCCTCATCCAAAAAATAAGCATCTCCCCCTTCCTCTGCTCCGCTGTGGTGTGTAGCCAAGGACACAATGGACAGGAAGTGAGGATGACTAATACTTGCAAGTGCCTGCGAGGAGCCTGTGTGCTCTGCTACTCAGTTAACACAGACTAACTCATCAGTCTTCCCCACATCTGCCCTGGGAGTTGACTACTTAGGATTATGATTCCTGTTTAAAGAGGAATCAATGAGGATAAAGTTTACATTTTTATTTTTGGGTCTTTTTAGAACTGAGAAAGACCTTGGACATCTTCTGAAAGACCCTCAAATGGGTATCCCAAGGCTCAGAGAGGCAAACTGATTTACCCAAAGTCACTCAGCTGGTAAAAGGGGAAGCCGGGATTTGAACCCAGACAGGTTAAGAGCCCATGCACTTACCTACTCTACCAAGAGGTCCCCCGTTCATCTGAAGCCCACCCACTTCTGCCCGGAGGTGACTCTGTCCAGTCACACTGGGGGTTGCAACCCTTCAGTCCCATCTCCCTGCCCCACCCAACCCCACCTGCTGACTCGCCCCAGCCCCTCTCAGCTTCCCTTTCCACTCCAGGTGTCCCTCAGGGGCTTTTCACACAAGTGACCTAGCAGCCCCCAGAGGCAGATTCTTGCTCTGTTCCCATGAAGGCTTTCCTAGACACGGCAGTTGGGAAGGAAGAAAGCACTGAGTCTTCCATCCACCTGCTGGACAACTTAGCACCGTCATTCAGCCTGTCTGAGCCTTGACACCTGGTTTGACAAAATGGCATGACCCTATGTCCTGAGGATGTGGTGGGGACCCCAAGTGTGTGGGTCCTCAGGCTGGTGCCTGGAGGCTGAAGGGCTGACCAGCTCAGGCAGGAGACTTGTTCACTGGCTCATTCTCTTCGGACCCACAGCTCTGCCACCTCCCACTCTGCAGGGACAGCCTCAAGCCCACTCCGCGAGCACATTGTGATTCTCACAGCAAGGGGCTGTGGCAAGGACCCAAGGTGAGGGTGCGCGAACCTCTGGCTTTGTGCCCCAGGTACATTTCTTTCTTTTTTTTTAATTTTATATATTTTTTACATCATTTTTCATTTTTGCACAATGTATGCACTTTCGTCTTGGTTATAGTCCCCATACAATTCCCACCCACCTCGTTTTGATCCTACTCCCTCCTCCTCTAGACATCGGACCATCTCCGAGCGGCCCTAAGAGATCAGATGGAAAAACAGTTTCTTGGAGAGACTGGACTTCTCTCAGGTCTTTCCCAGAATAAATGGAGCTGTGCTCAGGCCTCGGGTGTCCCTGAACTTACAGCACCTCATGCCCTCCCAGAGGGAGGCCCATGAGGAGCGCTGCCTTCTCCAGGTGAGGGACTGGGTGCGAGGGGTGGTGGTGGGACAGGACTTCTGCACACCTAGCCCGGGGTTATTTATGTCCCCTTCTGGCTCAGCATAAATGCCTGGCATGACTTCCAAGCTCTTCTGACCCCCTAGACCCTGTGCCCTTCACCCTGGCATCGGAGGCTCCTTATCTCTGCCCCGCGTCAGCCTTCCAGCAGTGCTGCCAGAACGGCTAGCAGGGGCAGAGAGAGAACCCTACCAGTTCTTTCCCTCCTTCAAGGGCTCCCTTGGTCCTGCTTGCTCAGTGGGTGCGGGCGCCCTGAGGGCTGGGGCGCTCCATCTGGAAAGTGGGGCTGACGACTATCTGGGGGAGTCAATTGCCCATCTGGCAAGTGGCTCAGGAGCCCCCTGGCTGCCTCGCTGCACGTCAGGGCCACCCTACCCGGCTGCCCCGGTACCTTGCTTCTTCCTTCGATGCACAGGGAGCATGTCCACGGCGTGGGCGACCAGCAGCAACAGGCAGAGTGGCGCCCGCATCTGGGCAGCCGGGTCCGCGCGGGCACGCAGGGCTCCTGGCACCCGCGCGGCGCCCGCGGGGCTCCCCGGGACGCCCGACGGCCCCGCGGCGGCGCTGCGGGCTGCTGGGGATGCGCCGGGCGCATCCGCGGAGCGCGGCGTCGGTCCCGCCGCCAGGGACCCGCGGTCAGCCCGGCTGCCGGCCCCCAGGTCTAGCGAGGGCGGCGGAGGAGCGGGGACTCCGTCCTGGCGGGAGGAGCCAGGGCGCTCGGGGCGGCGCCACCGCCCGGGACCCGCGCGAGCCGAGAGGGGCGGGGGTCGCCGGGCCGGGGCCGGGAGGTCGAGCCGTGCGGCGCCCGCGTCTGGCCTGGCTCACGCCCCCCGCACTGCCCCGCGCCCCACCCGCGGCGGGCCGGCCCCAGGGCCCCGCCGCGCACACTTACACACGCGCACACACACACACACACACAGAGGCCCGCACGTACAGACTCGTGGACGGCAAGAGACCCCCATCCTCCTGCTCTCGACACCTTCCCACGCACCCCTCCAATTTTCTTCCTTTCCTTTCTCTGCTTCTTCTTTTCTCCAGTCCTGGCCCTCAGAGCCGCTCCTCTGCTGCCTGTTTTCCTTTTCGTCCTTCTTGATCCCCCTCCCCCCAAGCCTTGCTCCGAGGCCCCTTCCATCGACCCCCAGCTAGTCTCCCCTCTCTCTGCAGCCACCCCTTCTCCTCGTTGAGGCTCACGCTCGGCCTCCACCTGTCTGACCCTCCCTTTTCTCTTTGCTCCTCTTTACTTCCCTCAACCTGCAGGGTGGGGTGTGTGCGGGGCGCCCCAATTCCTGGCTCTCTCTCTGAGCTGTTTCTTTCTTCCAGGAGAGTTCCTGCTGGCCAGGGACCCTGAATATTTCAGCTTTGAGTGGGAGGTGGGGCGGGGGTGGGGGCTGGGGGGATGGTGGAAGCCCCTAATCTCTGACTCAATGTGACCCGCACCTCATAAATTTGCTTGTGAAAAGGCTGCAACCTGGGCAGCTTGCTGCCAGCTTATCTACAGGACTGGGAGGTGTTTCCATTTTAACCCTTTCAGAGCCAACTCCCTCCTCCTCTCAACAAACAGCACATTCCTGCATCCTGTCATCCTGCCACTAAAAACAATAGCAACAACAATGATGCTAGCTCTCAGGCCAAAAACCTGGGGCTGTGCTAAATGTTTTACACAAGCTTCAGAACAATCCAGTGAGGTTTTATTCTGTTTAGCCTCACTTTACAAGAGGAAAGGATGCTTGGGGAGGCTGAGTGACATGTCTAGGCCACTCAGCAGGAGGCCTAGAGCTTCTGTCCATCTACCCAGTGCCCACCCTCTTAGTTACTACTTGGGGCACAGAGGAATTTACTCTTGACACCCTCTTACCGAACGGTTGTCCTTTCTTTTTCCCATGCAATGTGTCTGGTGTGATCTAAAAGAAAAGGAAGGTAAATGTTGGTGTTTCTTCTCCAGCCCTTTCTCCCCATTCTTAACAAGTCAGGGCAGGTCTCAGGGAGAGAGACAGATAGAGTGAGACAATTCTCTCCTGCCCATTCTTCTTGGAATTACATGAACAGCGGCAGACAGCACCCTGGGGATCTTGGTGGAATGTCAGAGACATCCCACTGAGATGGCTCCATTTCTCAGACGGGGCCACTGAGGCCTCAGCCCTGGGGGTGACCTGCTCAAGTAGACCAGCAATCCAGCCCAGCAATTCAGATACTTCAAGAGCTGCAAAGGTGTCCAATGTGTTCCCTCCACCATGGCCTACAAGGCCTCTTCTTACTTGTCTGATCTCAATCTTGCTCACTACCCCACCCCTCTCCTCTTTAGCCCCAGAAGTCTCAACTCCTCGCAGTATTTCACAAACACCTGTAGGCCTCTCCTCCCTCTGAGCCTCTCACGTGTGGCCTCTCTATGGAATGTCACCCTCTGTCCCAACCCCCACTCCACTGACTCCTTCAGGACCCGTGTGGATATGACCCTCACCCAGGAAGCCGTCCATGTTCTCAGGCCGTGCCCAGTGCCTCCTCTGTGTTCCCATGATCTTTTACCACAGTTCTGATTATACCAGGTATGACTACAGGCGTGTTCTGTCCCTCCCTCTAAATTGTCATGTCTATGAGGCCAGAGAGGAGATCATATTCGAACAGGGTAATCCCCAGGGAAACGGAGGGTTTAGGTTTTTTTTTTTAATTTTATATATTTTTTACATCATTTTTCATTTTTGCACAATGTATGCATTTTCATCTTGGTTATATTCCCCACACAATTCTCACCCCCCTTATTTTGACCCTAATTCCTCCTCTTCTCCCCCCCCCCCCGCCCCGTATTGTGTCTCTGGTTTAGAGTTGCTTGTTGATTTTGATTTTTACTTTATTACAGTTAGTCTTTTTCCTGGTCCCTTATTTAGGTTTTCTAATTTCCTGCTATGAGTGAGACCATCCACTATTTTTCTCTTTCTGGCTTATTTCGCTGAGCATGATCCCTTCCAGCTCCATCCATGTTGCTGCAAATTGCATGAGTTTATCTTTTTTTGATTGCTGAGTAATATTCCATGGCGTATATGTACCACATCTTCTTGATCCAGTTGTCTATTTTTGGGCATTTGGGTTGTTTCCCAAATAGTTTTAGGTTTTTCTGCCCCGCACTAAGGCCAGGTGGAGCGGGCAGGGGGGAGAAGCTGGAGAAGACGAGAAGGAAGGAAGGCGATCAAGAAGGCTGGAGGGAAGTGCGAAGCAGAGGGACGTGCGAAGAAGCTGTGGCTGCTACTCTCCTGGGACTTGTGCCAGGGACTTGGAGACATGGAAGGAGATTCTTGGAAGAGACAGAGATGTGGGTGAGACCTGTGGGGAGGCTGACAATGGCCTTTATCTTGATTTTGATTTTACTCTTTTCCTTTGACACTTGCCTGGCCCCTCTGCCCTTTCCTAGGGGACCCCACCAGAAGGTGCCTTAGACTTGTGGCAAAATTTTGGGCCTCAGTGGTCCTGCTTTGGGCTGACCTGTTTGGCTGGGCATCTACCCACAAGGGGATGGGTAATTTGGGGTGTTTAATTGGAAACAATTTTAACTATATTCTTTCTCTTTATTGCACACTAATTGTACTAAAGTTCTTTTCGCTGAAGTCTTATGCATCAGAGTCATGCATTTTGTCTTGATGCGGCGGATGGCAGGCAGAACCTACTGAGATAGGGCTGGTTTAAGTGTTACTGGGGTACCCTTTCTTCTGCCCACTAACAATATCTGGGTCCCTGGAATCTAGCACATGACAGACAATAAGTAGGTGCTCAGCATGTTACTAGAATGAATGAATGAATGAATGAATGAATGAATTCTTCAGATACTTCAAGAAATTAGGCAACCCCAGAAGATCAAGCGTTAGGGGCTGGAAAATCAGCCCCTCCCCAGCCACTCCCAGTCCTGAAGTCTCCAAAGTCCAGAGCAGGACAGTGCCCAGGTGGGCAGGACTAGGGAGGAGCAATGTCTGTGTGGAGGCCAGGGCTACTGGATCACCACCCAGTGCTGCAGGTGTCAGCCTCTTATCCCATCCCACTGCACTGCCTCTGCTCTGGCCATGCAGGCCTGCTGCTGTTTCTCAAACTTGTCTGTTTTGTGTCCTCAGCAGGGCTTTTTACTCTCTGTCTGTCTGGAAATTCCTTCTCAGATCTCCTAAGGGCCTGTCTCCACTCAAGGTTATCCCCTCAGAGAGGCCCTCTCTGACTCTTGCAGATAAAACAGAAAGCTCATCTCTTGTATCTCCTTGTCCTGCCTTATTCTTTGTAGTACCTGTTCATATTGGCAACTTGCTTATTTGTGAGTTCCACGAGGACAGAAATATATTTTATCCCTTGCCTGAACTTAAAGTGCTTACTAAGTACTTATGGGGTAAATAAATGAATGAATGAGCACTCACCCCTTGATTCATTGTGGGACCTCATGTACCACCTGCTCTCCTGATCTCAGCTTCCCCGTTTGCTCAGTGGTGCAGCAGGGAGTGTGCGCCTCTGAGCATTCCGCCAATCCTTTCACAATCCCATATTTCTAGGGCTCGAAGGGCCAGGACTCAGGTTCCCAGCCTACCCTAGATGCTCAGGTCTAGGTCTGTGTAGAGGGCACTATCTTGGATCCCTGCTGCCTGGCAGCCCCTCATCTCCTTCCCCAACACAGATGCCCAGGGAGGTCCTTGAGGCCAGTGGTGCTAATGACATCCCCAGGAGGTGTACACACCAGGGGGCTCAATTAAGGAACCGCTGGACACTCCCATGAATAGATGAAGACAAATACAATGACGGCAACATAATATGCTCACAGCACCTGTTCCTGATTTGCAAATCCTTCTCCTACCAAGGAGAGCTTGGACCCAGTTTCCTTCTATCTGTGCTGTACTCACCTAAGTACCTGGCTTAAAGCTCATGCCCAGACAGGGCACAAGGACCACCTTTGGTGAGGGTAGAGAGCATTCCCCAAATCTCATTGGCCAAAGCTCAATCATATGGCCACACCTTCCTGCAAGGATGACTGGGAAATGTAGTCTAGACACGGGCTAAGATGGAAAAGCAAGGCAGGGAACTTCAGGCAAGTCTGTCACCTAGAACCACTCCCATCCCGCCCCAGCGGTGCAGCGGCTCTGTTCTATGTTGACTCTGGCTGCTACAAGCAACTCTTCCTAAGCAACTGAAGGATTTCAGTTTTCATCTTGGTGAAGCTAGAATTCCTCCCCAGAGCTGCAAGGGCTACAGGGTGGTAACCAACTGTCCCAGATTGTCAGGGATTGAAGAATTTCCTGGAATATATTTTTATCCCATGCATAGCTTCCTATAACTACTATTGCATCAGGATTCCAAACTGGATCATCACAAGACTCCCTCGTGCTACGTTTTTATGACTCTACCCACTCCTACCCCTCTACTCTAGTCCCTACAACTACTCATCTGTTCTCCATCTCTATAATTATGCTCTTACATAAATATTATATAATGAAAGCATGTAGCAGGCATC